CGGCCCTGAACACAAGAGAAACGACACCCAGCGAGCGGAGGCTTCTCTTCTTAGTGCGTCCAGAGCGTCCACGCGCCCACGGCGGCCCCCAGACCACTTCCAAGCAACAATCTAAGGAGGGAAGAAATGTGTTCCAAGCGCCCCTGTGTCACAAGTGAGCCTCCAAACCCGCGAAAGACAGGATGCTGAAACTGCACTGCTTCAAGATGTTGACTCCTCCCCTTCCCCCGCTCGGCGCAAACGAGCCACCGTCGTTTCCCCAGGCAGTTCGGCCGCCGCCTCCCTCCGAATAGGAATAAACTTGTTTTAACCGTTCGACGCTGTCTGAGCTTTTTGGACTACCGCGACCAACGCGTACGTCTAAGGGCCGACGACAACACCGGACATAACACCCTGTTTCTCCGTTGTCATTTCTCACGTAAGGTTTTCCCGTTTTACGTGGTTAGAAGTTTTTTGTAAATACAGACGTCCTGGTACATACTGTCATAGCGATTTTCAAAGTATTCTACTAGGTTATGTCAATAGGTCCTGAGTACCTTGTCGATCAATGTGTTTTTCATTATTAGTATTAATTAGTACTATCACTGCTGGTTGATGCCATTGTAAAGGGGCTATGACCTTGTCAAGCCCTTCAGCGTGATTGCTTTTTGTGAAAGAACCTTTCTTTCTTTGAAAGACAAAAAAATAAATCGAATATTCAAGCATTTATTGACGCCAGAAGAATACATGCACAACCACTACTTATGATATGCAAATTATTACACTGTAACTTGCATTTCATTTCGATAATACTGCCGCCTGTGCCACCACGTAAACGCCTTCGTGATGTCGTAATCTGTGCTGCCCTTTTGAAGGCGTCATGACACAATTTTTTAAATGAGAGTCAACTCTTTCATACATATATATTACATAATGAGGTGCCTTTGAGAAAGGGCGAAGCTCAGTGAATGCTGATAGGATATCTTATGGCGATATGAAAGTTGATTTTTGCATTAGACACCTATCGACATCGTCATTGGCGTGATGCCAGACTAGAGTACAAAATCTGGTAACGCAGTATTGAAGATTGTTGTGATGATGTCACGTACAAAAATTTTAATACGGCTGCGTGGCCGTGACCTAAACATTCAAAACGACTGCTTATACATCGCCAATGGAAGCACAATGCGGCGCAACCGTCGAAACGCCACTATTCCTTCACACAAGCAAGTGACGAGAAGTTCGTACCGCGTTGTCAAGTCAGGGTACAGTAGAAATCAAATCTAGATTTTATAACATGATAACTCATTAAGAGAGCACCTACGCTGAGCTGTAAATTTATTAGGCTGTTGAGGAGTTGGCTATTTATTTCAAGCAAAAATAAAAGAACTACACATGAAAATTTTTGCGTCTCTCCATCGAGGAGCTGGCCAATCAGCTTTGGGCCATCCGACAAAGAAAAGGTGGGTGCCGGGTCTTGAAACGCGTCACCAGAAGCACCATCAGCGTCAGAGATGAAGCGTGGGATCGAACAAAAGTTAATCGCTCCTTGCCGCTGCCCCGCCCCTGGAAAGCTGCCAAACTAGCCTTCACTTAAGTCCTTAATTCAATCAGTAAGCATAGAGGCACTGATGTAGTTTGTATATATCTAGTTAGCCTCAGATGTACAATACAACAACCCATAATGTTTATGAAATAATACCTAGAGAGGAATCTGGCACTGCGATCGCGTACCCTCATGGGAATTATGGGAAGTACAGGCTTCGTATTGGATAGCGTTAGTCAGTGAACTGTCTACAGATGTTAAGTTGCAGTTTCAGCTTCGTTCTTCGCGTAGAGTGGGTAGTGGGGTCAGTGCAAAGGACTGAAGCTGCACCTTTGTTGTTCAAGAAAACGAAAAACTGCCTGGCCTCTCAGTTTACTGTATCGCTGGAGCTGTATAAGTCATGTTTGGCAAATTAAGTGAAGCGCCGTCCACCCACCGATGCGCATAGATGTAGCTTCCCATGCCGGTGCAGTATATTACATGAAGTTCACGTTTTTAGTTTGTGCGTCTTGCCAAAACTCGTTGAAATCAACTGCAAAACAACTGCGACGCAAAGTAGACGCACCGCCACGTTTTTCTGACTCAACTTCACAACAAAACAAGAGTTGCGTTGGTGACAGACCACTTCAACAGACGCACCTGGCATAGCAGCAGACGAAATGTTAAGTGTTCTCCACTTAATACTGTGTTGTCATTTCTACAAATAGATCTTGCGTATTTAGAGGGCGAAACAAGAATGTTTGTTTTGAAATGTTGTAAAGAATATTTCATCACATCTGGATGCCAAATCTTGAACACAAATGGCAGTGCAATGCAAACCCTGGTGGTTAAATTTGTCCAGGTTTCACTTTTATCGCCTAATCACAAAAACCTTTTGCAATAAATATGCGTACAAAAAAAAACGAAACAAGTTTCTATTCGAAATACCCTTAGATTACTTCGTTTTACGCTTAATAAATAAGCTTCGCGAATTTCAAGAATGTGATCCACCCGAAACAGAATCAAAGCCTGTACTTCCCATACTTTCCATAGGGGTACAAACGCCGCTGTAGGAGCCCTTGTAGACACTAGCACCGGATTCCCCTCTAGGTATTATTGTATAAAACTGTGTGCAACAACCAAATTTACACAAGCACAATGATTACATTTGTGACAAACCATTCAAAACAAAAAACAAAACAAAAACTGCGTCACAGGTTCTTCCAGCGCCAATGTCCGCGTGGTCTAGGCATCATGAAAAGACCAGCCTTGACAATGAAACCAATTTTATACCGCTTCCCAACGCCCCTTAGGCTGATTCGTTCTCCCAATTATAACAAAATAGCATTGAGGCACTGGCTCATGACAACGCCAGTCTGGTTTCAGAACAAATGTCGCAGCCTCCATGCCCAGTAAAATGGTACTCTCGGCATAGCTTAGCGAGTGGTGAAGCACAATGACTGCCGACACAACGCTGCTCGGGTGCGTGGTTGCTCGGGCCGGTCAAGACATGTCTTGCGCACGTGACCTGGAGAGTGAATGATGTGATGATGCATTTACATCATGTAAATATCTAGCTCCGTGGCTGAAGAAGGCTGGAAAGCCATATTTTTTCTCAAGGCTGCACGAGAAAAGTGTTAGTCAAGGATGAAAAAAAGAAGAAAAACTGGACTAACACATACAAAACGCAGTGCAGATTTTACCTACAGTATCTTCCAACCAGCCCTCCCAAAAGCTTTTCTACCCAATATTTTCTTGTGAAAACATCTTACTGCGTCCTCCTGGCAATTCCCTCGGTATCTTCCTTATAATGTCACACCTCCGTTCGTTCACGAGTTTATTTACCCTGAAAGAAGCTATGTTTTTCACACAAAAATATCAAAAGTAGTTCTGTTTAAGAAAGTAATGTCGGAAAGTTCACGTCATCAGTGCAAGACGTACGAGACACACAATAAGTTCTGCTTTTACGGCTATTCGCGGGCAAACGACTTTTGGAAATCAGATAGAAAAATGATTTTTTTTCTACGTAAACAATCTGTCCTATTCATGCTGCCCCGCCGCGGTGGTCTAGTGGCTAAGGTACTCGGCTGCTGACCCGCAGGTCGCGGGTTCGATTCCCGGCTGCGGCGGCTACATTTTCGATGGAGGCGGAAATGTTGTAGGCCCGTGTACTCAGATTTGGGTGCACGTTAAAAAACCCCAGGTGGTCAAAATTTCCGGAGCCCTCCACTACGGCTTCTCTCATAATCAATTGGTGGTTTTGGGACGTTAAACCCCACAAATCAATCAATCCTACTCATGCTACCACAATAGTTTTTGGTACTGACAGTTCAACAATTTGCGACAGACGGCCTGCAATAGGTTTCTTCCAAGGAGCAAATAAATGCAAGAAAGGATCGCTTATGTTGGAGAAAACTGACTGAAGCTGCTCTGCTTAAATAAATAGCTACTTGGCGTTCACAACCTCTGCAAGCTCAGCATAGTGTCGATTCGAAATATTAACTGTTTATTCATCACGTGGCTTCTAATCATATCGGTGGCTCATGTGACATCCTTCCATCAGCAACAGCAATTGCTGTTGCAGTCACCGTTCATGCAGCAGCAACAGAAGCTCATCCCACCATCACAATCCATGGTGCAGAATTTCGAATTGCAGGCACACCAAAATCACCAGACAGTGCCACTGCAAAATCCCTCTCATCTGCAACAGCCACCACAGCAGGAACAGTATTTGCACGTTGCACCACCGCTGCTCATGCAGCACGAATCATCAAACCTTCACAAGCCACCGAAACACCACAATGAATTAATGCTACAGCCAACAACTGAGCAGCAACCTCCCCAGTGCAAACATCAATTGACACAGGAGTGACTACGACCACAACAAGAAAAGCCACTTGTAAGTCCATTGCCACCCACAGCAACAAATCAAGGACAATTGGTGAGGCTACGATCACCGACGACTCAGCACCTAAGGCAATGGCAACTCAAGCCACCAACGCTGCACGTCCAGTCGCCATTGACAACGCATCAGAAACAGCGGTTGCTGCTTCCACGACAGCCACTGGTGCCACAGCGGCAACTGCAGTACCACCAGCAACGACATGTGGTGATGCAGCTGCGATCTTCGGTGGCAAACCAACGACAGCTGATGAATTACGGAAACGAAAAGGCTGTCATGTCGGTGCAACCAACACAGCAACTCGCACCACCACGACAGCCGAAGCCGGGGGTGCCACCGCAGACATTGACGCAACAACGACGGCTTTGGTCGAGCTACTGACACAGGTAACACAAAATCACGAGCCGCCACACCACGAGCCACCGACAAAAAAAAGCCCTAACACTTCCGCTAAAACAGTGGCTAGTTTTGTCCGTACTTTCAGCAACACAGAAGAGACATATGCTTGTACCGCCTCGACCACTGGTGACGCAGTATTGGCAACCATCTTTTCACAAGAGATCTACACATAAACACCGAACACTACAGCAGCAAATGCAGGTGGTAGAGCCACAGCCTTCGGGGACAAAGCAGCAACTGTTGGTGTTCAGTCGACAATCGGTGGTGCAGCCCCACGAGCCACCTAACCGCAAACCACCGACACATCAAATCTCAACATCACGCCAGCAACAGCAACTACGTGAGCCCTTGCCTCTGGCAAGGCAGCAACAGAGGTTAGTTTTGCCTCATGCACCGGTGATGAAGCAGCGAAAAAAGCCTAACCACAAGCCACATCAGCAAGAGCGGATATTAATTCCCCTACCACCAGCCATGCAGCAGAAGAAGACATCGTTATTGTCTCTACCACAGAGGATTCAGCAACAGCAGCAGCCCAAAAACAAGCCACAGTCACTGCAAGACCCAACACCACAGCAGGAACTGCGGGTGATAGTACCGCTGCTATCAGTTACGCAGCAGCCGCAGAGGTTGGTATTGCCCGAACCGCCAACAATGCAACAGCAAAAACCACCTAACTACCAGACACCGTCTCAGAAATACTTAACACAACAACAGCAGCAGCCGCGTGTGATAGTGCCACTGCCATCGGTCACACAGCAGCAGCAGAGGTTGGCGTTGCCCAAACCACAAAATGATGCAACATCAAAAGCCGGTTAACCACAATCCACTGTTACATGAAGACGTTACGCAGCAGCAACCGCAGGTTAGAGTGCCACTGCCATCGGTAACGCAGAAGCAGCAAATGTTGGTGATGCCTCAACTGCAAACTGAGCAACAGCAAAAGCCACCTAACTACAAGCCACCGTCCCAGCAAGATATTGCACAGCTGCAGCCACAGCGGATGATTATGCCACTGCCATTGGCCCCACAGCAGCAGAAGAGGTTGGCGTTGCTCAAACCACCAACAATGCAACCAGAAAAATCACCTAACGACAAGCCTCTATTACTGCAAGACCTAACGCAGCAGCAGCAACAACAGGTTATAGCACCGCTGCCATCGGTTGCGCGGCAGCTACAATGGTTGGTGATGCCACCACGGCAAATGATGCAACAGCAAAAGCTACTCAACCACAAGCCACCGCAAGACATTACGCAGCCGCCGCCACAGCAGGTGATAGTGCCAGTGCCATCCCACACGCAGCAACAGCAAACATTGGCGATGTCCCAACTACAAACGATGAAACAGCAAAAACCACCTAACTACGAGACACCATCACAGAAAGGTGATGAGTCATACACAACAGCAGCAACAAAAGGTTATAGTGCCACTGTCATCTGAAACGCAGCAACAGCAGATGTTGGCAATGTCCGAACTACAAGCAATGCAACAGCGAAAGCCGCTCAACCACAGGTCACTGCCACAGCAAGGCCTAACGCAACAACAGCAAGACAGGTTGATAATGCCACCGATATCCAACCCGCACCAGCAGCAGAGGTTGCCGATTCCTCAGCCCCTAACGATACAGCAGCAAAAGCCACAGAACGACAAGCCACTGTCACAGCAAGGCCTCGCGCAACAGCAGCAAGAGAGGGTGATAGCGCCATTGCCATTCGGCACGTAGCAAATTCAGAAAGTGGCGATGTACCACCCACAAATGATGCAGGGGCAAAATGTGTTTAACGAAGAGCCATCGTCACAGCAAGGCCCAATGCAACAGCAGCAACAGAGGATGACAGAGCCACTGCCATACCTCACACCGCAGCAGCAGAGGATGCCGATGCCCCAACAACAGACGATGCAAATACAGAAGTCATTAATCCACAATCCATCGTCACAGCAAGACCAAACGTCCGAGCAGCAACAGCAGGAGATCATGCCTCTGCCACAGGTAACGCAGCAGCAGCAAAAGCTGGTGTTCTCTCAACCACTGACAATGCAGCAGCAAGAGCCGCCAAACGACAAGTCACTGAATCGGCAAGTTTTAACGTCACCACAAGCACAAGAGTTGCTTGTGCCACCAGTGACTCAGGAGCACCAGCAGTTAGTGCTGCTGATACCGCCACCGATAAGGCAGCGACTGCCTCAGTAGCACCACCGATGGCGGAGCAGGCTTTACCAGCACAGCAACAGTGGATAGGGCCACCGCCACCGACAATGCAGCAGGCGCAGCCACCAGAGTACAATCAGCTTGATCAGGAGGCAACGGCACGTCTGCCGGTGCAGGGCCAGCAGCTGGTGGCCCGAAATTTATCGTTATTGCCGGTATTATTGGTTGTTCAGTCCCATCAAGAGATGCTAGTTTTGGCCCACGACGACCGACGCAGCAGCAACAGCAGCCACGGCCACAGCCACAGCTACTTTCACAAGCCACAACAGAGCAACATGGGCAGCAGCAGCAAGACAGTCAGCTACAAAAGCAGCAGCAGGAGCAGCTCTAGCACCTGTCTCTAATGACACTATTTCGCAAGTGGTATTAAGGGAAAATTCTTTGAATATTACCGAATTCGAAAGAGCTACAGCTTAAAATTTGAGACCTCAAGTACGTTTTCAAGAAGTACACCAGACCAATTGGGCTAAAATTTGCTCACAATACTCTCAAATGCTTTGCGAAAAGTATGAATGTAAAAATTTAAATTATGTGTGAGCTATTACAAAAATTGATTCTTTTGGTATCACTCCTGCGGCATGGAACATGTGAGAACAATGTTTTTTAGGTAAATTTATTTATTTATTTACAATACTGCCAGTCTCTTACGAGACCAAAGCAGGAGGGCATGAGTATCAAAATACAATGAATGCTAAGTACTTTCTTACAGGCGGCATACAGAACTGTAGTTATTTTAAAATTGGTAATAATAATCCTAGTTACATAGAAACATTAGACATAGGTATTTATGCACTCCAAATATTCACACTTCGGAAGCAGCAAACTAAATCTTTGCTGCATAAAAAAAAATCAATACAGTTTTATACAGAGAAGGCATTGTGTAAACTTATACATCCAAATAAATACTACTGGAAAACAATATTGGAGGTCATGGTTGAAGAAAGCCGTTGTCTCAAAGTATACTCTCAATTTTTGAAGTGAATTCTGCCAGTGATGTTACGTTAGTAATGGAGGGATCTAACCTATTCCATTCGCTGATTGACAGGGGGAAAAAGGATTGCTTGAAACAGTCGTTGTTGGAAGAGTATTCTTTGATAGTGTATGCATGTTTATGTCGTAGTGTTCGCGATTCTGCCAAAGATATGTACCTGGATGCATCGATCCGGCTGTGGTTATGCAGAATGTGGTGTAAAAATTTGAGACGCGCGATTTTTGCTCTTGTTGCAAGAGTGGGTAGACCGGAGGTTTCTAAAAGGTGTGTGGGCGAGTCGGTGCGTTTGTACTTATTATGTATAAACCTAATGGCCTTCCTTTGAACCCGTTCAACTTTTGCTATATTAGTAACACCTTGCGGGAACCACACAGTGTTAGCGTACTCCAAGATTGGTCGCACGAATGTGGTGTAAGTTAGGAGCCTAGTATCTGTCGGCGCGAAGGGTAAACGCCTTCGTAGAAAAAACAGTTTACGCAAAGCCGATGCTGTAACATTGTTAATGTGCGCATCCCATCTCAATTCGGAAGTCAAGGTGACGCCAAGATACTTCTGCTGCGTAACTCTTTGTAAAGGCACGCCGTTAATTGTATAGGTAAAGTCGGAGGGTTCTTTTTTCCTGGTTACCGTCATGCAAACTGTTTTTGTTAGGTTAATTAACATTTGCCACTGCTCACACCAGTGAGCAATCTTACTCAATGAATTATTTAAAGATAAATGATCATCCGAACTGTTAATTGCTCTATAAATAATGCAGTCGTCTGCGAAAAGTTTAATTTTGCAGTCTATGTTATCAGTGATGTCATTTATGTAAATTAGAAATAATAATGGCCCTAGGACGGAGCCTTGGGGAACACCTGACTTAACTGGGGCCGTCCACGACGATACTCCTTCGAAAACCACGAACTGTGACCGGTTTATAAGAAAGTCTCTTACCCAGTTCGTAATTTCCCCATCCCCAATAATGTTCTGCAATTTCGAAATCAGTTTAGTATGACACACTCGATCGAACGCTTTTGCTAAATCAAGTAGAATTACGTCAGTTTGGCCACGGTTGTTTATACTGAGTGCAAGGTCTGGACAACCTCGGTAAGCTGCGTGATTGTTGATAAACCTTTCCGGAAGCCATGTTGATGGGGGGACAGGAGATTGTTGTTTTCTAGAAAAATAGTTAAATGCTTAGCGATTATATGCTCTAGTATCTTACATGACGTACTGGTGAGGGATATAGGTCTAAAATTAGAAGGAACAGCAGTATCTCCGGTTTTGTGTATGGATATCACCTTTGCTACTTTCCATTCTGATGGCAGTTTTGCTGTTTCTATTGATTTGCGATAAATTATGCCGAGGTATTTACTACACGGTTCTGCGTATCGAAAAAGAAATTCATTTGCAATATCATCGGGGCCACTGGCTTTCTTCGTGTTTAGATTCAAAAGTAGGTTAAGAATCCCGGGGTCGCTTATAACTAATGGTTCAATGGGAATTCGAGCTGTGGGCAAGGCCGCAGAAGTGGTGCCATTGTCATCAGTAAAGACAGATTGAAAATAATCGTTGAAAATATTGGCCTGGTTTGTTTTATCGCTATCGCTTAAACACGTCTTTGTTTCAGTGGCAGAGCGAAAATGTTTCCAGAATCGTTGAGGGTTGTTTTTTATGTAACACGGAAGCGTTGTAGTAAAATATTGCCTTTTGGCGAAGCTAGCTTTTTGTTTGAAGTCTGTAATAGCACGTGCTAGGTTAGATACGGTTACTGGATTCTTGCCTTTCTTTTTGATTGCTTGGGGTAGCCTCTTAACTTTTCGCTTTGCGTGTAAAACTTCGCGGGTTATCCAAGGATTATGTTTTTTTTTGCCTTTTTTTTTCAGTGGGACAAAGTGGGTAACGCAGAACACAACGATAGTCTTGAAACACGACCATAGATGATTTACATCAGTCGTTGGATGTATAGCAAGGTTTGAAAAGTTTTCAAATTCGTGAGCTAAGTAGGTTACAATGCTGGCATCATCACCTTTAGGAAAATTTCGTACAGTAGTTACTGATCAACGTGGTGTTATGTCATATCCTAGTTGGAGCTGACAGATTGGTATGCGGTGATCTGATATCCCCGGAATCACATTGACGACTGATTTATTTAACGGGAACTGGCCACTAATCAATATAAGGTCGAGTACGCTTTTTGTTTGATCTTTTATACGTGTTGGCGCAAGCACGACTTGTTGTAGATTGAAATTTAAAATTAAATCCATAAGTGTCTCCGATGACTGTGACGTGTACTGCATGTTGTTCCAATTTATGTCGGGAAGGTTAAAATCACCCATGATGATTAGTCGAGAGTTATGGGCATGAGTTTGAAGATAATCTTGGATCGCTATAATACATTTGCTGTCTGATGAGGGGCTTCTGTAAACGCACCCGGTTACTATGCTAATTCCATCACAATGAATTTTACAGAATACCGCCTCTGCGCCTATAACTTCGGGAAGCACGGCAAAAGGAATCGATTTGCTTATCAACAGGGCCACACCCCCACCACGTGTGGGACGATCTTTCCGGATTACAGCGTACTCTGGGGGAGTGAATTCGTCGTTTAAGATATCAGGCGTCAACCATGTTTCCGTGACGGCGACTATGTGTGGCTCTTGATCAAGCAGTAGTTGTTCAAGGCTTGCAGATTTATTTAGTATACTGCGGGCGTTTACGGTTAGTAACATTATTTCTTTGATTGGGCGTGTTGTCGGGTCTTCGGGCGGTTTACTATGTCGTTTTTTTCTACTGGAACTCTTTCACCCTTTTCGTCGTCCCAGACAAAAGCGACATCGTTAATATAAAGCTTAGTGTATGCTAGTGCGACTTTGTCTTTTTTTTCCCGATTAGTTTTGGCGCTGTCCCAAAGCTTTTTCCTTGTCTCACGGGTTTTGCGAGCGAAATCCTCCCCTATAGAGAGGCCAGTATTTTTGAGCTTGAAGCAATTCTTCAAAACACTCCCTTTCTGTCTCGAGTCAAGAAGCTTCAGAATCACTGGTCGTGTCTTGCTTAGCGCATATCTGCCTAATCTATGAATTCTTTCAATTTGAACCGGCTCCAGCCCAAGAACACTTTCTATTATACCTTTGTTAACTGCTTGCTCCAGTTTATCGCTTGTTTCGTCTTTCATTTCTTCTAGGCCATAAATAATTAAGTTTGACCGACGGCTGCGGTTCTCAAGCTCCTCAACTCTTTGCTCAAGCGTTTTGTGCTATTCATGGCAAAAATCTGGTCGTTGCAGGCTTTAAGTTTTTCTTCTAGTGCGCCTAGAGCGTCCAGTTTATTTTCAATACCCGCTAGTCTCTGTTCCTTAATTTCCTTAATATCTGCGGAAATTACATTCAGTTGCTTCATGATTTGAGAGAGCTCAGGTCCGGGATTGGTCTCTACATCACCGCCGAGCAACAACAGTTTTCTCACGAACAATGAGCATTCAAACAACAGATCACACAGCCGGGGGCACGGCAGCACCAACAGGCATCGGTCACTAGAGCGGATACATTTACCGAAACGTTTCCTTACCTGCACAAGGAATACGAAGTGGTTAGGGATCCGCATGGCCAAGGTGCCGCCGTGCCCTATGGCCGCCGCGCTCCTGGGTGACGAACTTATAGGCTGATCCGCGAGGGGCGACCACGGGTGAGCGCATGCGCCGGAATCCGTGAGTGTTGACGAATGCTGATGGCGTTGATAATCCAGGGCGATCCTTGCAACTGTCTCTGGCACGTGGCTGTTCGTCGCTTTCCGAGTGGCGTTAACCGAAAATGGCTTTCCGGTAGCGCTGGTGCAGGGTGGGAACAGCAGGCCGAGTAGAAACTGCACAAGGAATACGAAGTGGTTAGGGATCCGCATGGCCAAGGTGCCGCCGTGCCCTATGGCCGCCGCGCTCCTGGGTGACGAACTTATAGGCTGATCCGCGAGGGGCGACCACGGGTGAGCGCATGCGCCGGAATCCGTGAGTGTT